TTCATACGAAACTTGAGCGTTCAAATTTGCCACCCAAAGAAGCACAAATACAAAAATTTTCGCTCGCTTCGCTCGCAAGTCCCTCTCCCGCTGCTCTGTAACTTCTAGCAGACACGACGGTACTTGAACTTTTAAAAATAAATATCAAAAGGGACAATTTACTGTGCGCCCAAAAATATTTTCAGACCTTAAATCATAAAAATTAGGGAAATAAGTTTTTTTTGTCACATAAAAGTGCCCCTGGAAGTAGGCAACCCGCAAGTTTTGCCCCCCCTTGAACTGCGAGCCAGATCCGCCCCTGGTACTCCACTCCATCGGCTGCGAGGCTCGAAAATCATATCACCAGGTCGGCCACATTCGCTAATCATCCAGCGAGAGCAGCGCACCGATGAGCTAGCTACGCATCGCGATATCCCCGTCGGGGCGGGCGCCGCAGAGGAGCTAGAGTAGGGCAGGGCAGTCTAATGATTGCCGGAGTGTAGGCGAGGCGTGGCCGGAGCAGCGCGTGGCGGGCCGTGCGGGCCCCTCGGGTGCCGAGGGTGGCGGGCTTGCGTGCATGAGACCCCCCCCTCTTTCCGCCCCCGGCGCCCCATCGGGGGTATACGCTGCGGTATGTCGCTACACCGCCATAAAAAAAAGGGGACGGGGAAGGGAGAGATACATATGGTTAGATACGTTCACTTTCGCAAAAGTATTTAAATGTCGAGGGGGCGGGGTCCTATCTCGTTCTCTGTCCAAAAATAGGCATAAAAATATATTTTTCAGATTTTTTGGACACAAGTAAAAGGTCGCGCCGGCCCGTCAAAGTTAACATGCAAGTCTTATGGGACAAACGGCTAAAAAGTGTTTTTCGCCTTTTTCTCTTTCAGTTTCAATTATTTTTGAATTCTGTTTGGAGAAATGGAATCTACGCGTAAAAACACGTCCGGTGACATACAGTACGGCATATTCGTCCCAATAATTTTCGTGCTGTGCTACGCCGAAAGAGTCTAAAAAGGCTAAAATTTCCTTTATTTTAGAAAAAAAATATTTTTGTTTTGGGTGCAACAACTCCGAGCGGCACATCACCGGGCGTGTTTTTACGCGTAGATTCCATTTCTCCAAACAGAATTCAAAAATAATTGAAATTGACAGAGAAAAAGGCGAAAAACACTTTTTAGCCGTTTGTCCCATAAGACTTGCATGTTAACTTTGACGGGCCGGCGCGACCTTTTACTTGTGTCCAAAAAATCTGAAAAAAATATTTTTATGCCTATTTTTGGACAGAGAACGAGATAGGACCCCGCCCCCTCGACATTTAAATACTTTTGCGAAAATGAACGTATCTAACATATGGTGCGGAGAAGAAAAGGATATATAGAAGAAAAGAAACACGGCCGCACAAACTACATCACGGTGCGGGACGAGTTTTAAGGCGGAGTAAAAGTACACTGTTGTGGAATTATTGGCTGCGACGACAAGAAGAAAGAGATTGCGGCGAAGAGGGCGGGGGGTGGAACGCAAAGCGGGGGTAAGAGGGGGAGGAGTA